CGTGACCCATGGCTGACACTCCAGCGAGCCGCTGACACGCATCCGCCAACGGCGGCCATTACCGGGGTAGGCGGGGCAGCAAGCAGATGCTGAGCCGTTTCTAGCTGCACTGATGATATTCTGTGATTTTTGATTTTGCTTTTTTTTTTTTTGGAAATGTACTTACAGCTTTTGTACTCAGAATGTCTGTCGCCGTGGCAATAGAGGAGCAGGGCAGAGAGAGCAAAGCAGCCTGGGGGGGGGGACAGGAAATGAGGGCGCAGCTGAGGAATTATGGGCCTGGCACAGACTTGGATTCTTCCACAACCACATGACCACAAGGGGAACGTGCAAGAAAAGTACAAAATACTAAAGGATCCTATGCAGCTGAAGACTAGACTTGACCAGTCAGTATTATGGCTTTTAGTATAGAAGTACAGCCCATCCCCCACCCCTAGGTGGGGGGGTGGATTTGATGTCTTAACACCATTAGACAGAACGGCACAGAACATCCCAAGCAAAGGCGTAGCCTCATGCTAACAGAATCACGCCACATGCCCTGCACCCTCAGATTACACACCATGTTGTAACTTGTCCCATTTTGTGATAGAGGTAAAGATAAGCTAGTTTCAAAGGTAACGGTAAATAAATAATATTGACCTGGTATTGCTGGTTTTAATCAATGTGGAAATCATTAGAAATGGGCAGCTACCTGTTTACGGGGAATGGGAAGTGTGGCTGTCAGTCACGGCACTGCATGGCCGTTTGGTTATTCCGTGTGTTGGCATGTCGTTTACATGTTACTCTGTCTTAACACATCATTCACATGTTGCTGTCTGTGTTGACAAATCATTCACGTGTTGCTGTCTCTGATGGAACGTCGTTTACGTGTTGCTGTCTGTGTTGGAGCGTCGTTTACGTGTTGCTGTCTGTGTTGGAACGTCGTTTACGTGTTGCTGTCTGTGTTGGAACGTCGTTTACGTGTTGCTGTCTGTGTTGGAACGTCATTTACGTGTTGCTGTCTGTGTTGCCGTGTCGTTTATGTGTTGCTGTCTGTGTTGGCACGTTGGCTGCAGCAGTTTGGAAGGTGGACTGTGATGGGCGGAATGGTGGAGCGCAGATGGACCGGCTGCAAGTTATTGAGAGAAAAGTTGGCCAAAAGACAGTATTTATTACACCCTGCAGAAGGGTAGCAAATGGCATGGTATAATGAGATTAATAAGTATTACAAGAACACCTCAAGGTCGTATGAACACATCAAGGTCGTATGAAGCCATCAAGGTCGTATGAACACCTCAAGGTCGTATGAACACCTCAAGGTCATATGGAGATGGTAGAATGTAATGAGAAATATGGATGCTAAAGATTTGTGGAATATGAACCAGACGCTCATGGCCCAGACTGCAAGAGAGAGGCCAAAGTTTACATCCAGATCTGAAGTAGAGTTAACGAGAGAAAGACTTCCTGTTTCCAGAAATATTCAGATTGATTAGAGGGATCCACTTGCCAAAAGGAAACGCTTCAAAATGAACCAAAAAAAAAAGAATTTTGATGACTGAGGAAAAAGCGAGTGGATGAAAGAGATGGGCATATTTTATAGATATATAGAAGATTCCATATAATTTAATGAGCGTAAGCATTGCTTTCTGTGTTTATGGGTCCATGCTAGAGTTAGAACGGGATCAAGATTTAAGGAAATGTTTCCACAGAATCCAGTAAATCACGACGGAGTGGTGCTGCTCCGTCGTCCGCTCGTCTTTCACGGGACTAGCCTGGAATGAGATGGAAAAGCTTTTTTTCAGGATGCATAACAAGGGGAAATACTAACATTTCAGAATGCACAAGTGTGTGTGTGAGTGTGTTTGTGTGTGTGAGTGTGTTTGTGTGCAAGCGTGTGAGTGGGTTATGTATATATTACGTTGTGGGGACCAAATGTTCCCAGAATATGATTAAAACCTGTTATTTTGAGCCTGTGAGGACATTTTTTGGTCCTCACAAGGGAAGCTACTTTTTTAAAACTCTGTGATTGCAAATCAAAAAACTAAAAATGCCAAAAGTCTTGTATGTTGTTTGGTTACTTATGGGTAAGCTTTGGGCTGGGTAGGGGTTAAGGTGTTATTGTTAGGGATTAGGGGTTTTTCCATTGAAATGGATGGACGGTCCCCGCAAAGAATAAAAAGGTGAGTGTGTGTGTGTGAGAGACGGAGAGAGAGAGAGGGCGGTTCGTGCTTCCAAACATTGATTCATTGGAACAACTTCTTGGCAGGACAGACTCTGGTTCGTTTGCGTTGGTTGAGGGCAAGTGACAGAGCTGCTGGGGAGAGAGGATAGGGGGCGACTCTAGGGGAAGGACTCAATCAGGAACAGATGTGGGGCAATATGAGAGACACACTTTAAACACGTAACTGTGTGCACAGGCTGATAGGAGGAATGCGCAGAGGAACAGCTTCACCTCATCCCCAGGATCATTCATGTTACAGGACAGACGGGCCTGGTGAACACATCATGTCACCGAACGATACTTATCACCTTTCACAAATGGCAGCGCTTCCAAAATCACATGGGAAATCTGTTAGTAATTCAGCAAAGGGATGGTTTTAATCAGAACGAAAACTGGCTTATTCAGCTAGATGTGTGGAGAACGGACAGATGAAAGCGGTGAGAGAGCGGGAGGCGTGGGAGGAGCTACTCGCTACAGCAACATTTTTCAGATTTCAGCGGTTGCGTTTGTTGGCCTGGTTTCTAACAAGTAAAAAAATGTGGGGTCTGTGAAGGTAACGAGTAAGAAGGGGCCTTTGTTAACTGGCTCTGTGGTTCTGTGGCTCCGTCTCCGGTCTGACTCCCACTACGGATCATGAGTCTGGGGTTTGGTTCCCTCTAGCCATCATCTACTTCTCCTACAGATTAGCATGTGAGCCAAAAGCTCCTTCCAAATAACATGGAAAATGTGCCATGATACCGATGCAGTCTGAAGGAGATTATCTTCACAGACAGTACACAAGCCATTGCTAGATCTGTGACCCTTTGCTAGATCTGTGACCCTTTGCTAGATCCGTGACCATTTGCTAGATCTGTGATCCATTGCTAGATCTGTGATCCATTGCTAGATCTGTGATCCATTGCTAGATCCTTGAAGCTTTGTTTGGTTCGTGACCCATTGCTACATCCATGAGCCACTTTAGATCTCATCTGGTTGATCAAAAACATCTTAATCCACCTTGAGAAAAATCTTGTAGTATGAATTTATACCCATCCATCCATCCATCCATCTTCCAAACCCATTATTCTGGTCTGCATTCCAAGTCAGGGGAACATCATAGATGGGATGTCTGTCCTTCTCAGGGCACAAAAACACACACTGTGGCTGTTTAGAGATGCCAGTTGAACTTACTCAAGAAATCCAGGTATTTTTCGTTATATTCCTACATGTACAGTAGACAGAAAATGTTGAATTGAGAATAAACAAGAAGAGAGAAGTGAGGATTTTGGCTTTCAATAAAAGACTCAAAACAAAGGACGGTGTTTAAGGATAACGGTCAGGGATCAAGGGAAATCTAAAGAAACAGTGTAGAGACAGGTGTCATTATTTCCACACTCTCACCCCCCCTAGCCCCCAGCCCCGCCAAATGCCGCCCAGACTCTCCTGCTGCTGTTGGCCCATATTCTTGTACAGCAAGTCAGCTGCCACCCTATATGGGCATCATCAGCCCCCCCACTTCCTGTTGACGGTGATTTAAAATCCCCATTAAAGAATCGGCCCCAGCAAAACCACAATCGGTGAACCACTGCTCTGAAAATGACCTTTTTAACATCGGCCGGAATTAGCCTACAAGCTGCCTGAATGTTTTATGGCTTCTTTTCTGCACTCCTTCTCACTGTGCATTAATACCCCCCCCCCCGCCCCCCGGCCGGGGGGGGGGGGGGGGGGGGGGGGGGGGGG